CGAGGCCATCGTAACAGGATCGTGGGAATGTGGACCCCATTGAGGGAGTCCTGGGAATGCCACGAAGCTCAGGGACCTTCATCCACAAGAGGCAGTATGATGGGCAATTGAAAGACGACTAGATTTGAAGCCAGAGAATCTGGGTTGGAATCCTAGGTATGCTCGCTGCTTGTGTCCATTTTGGACAAGTCACATAGCTCCTCAAGCCTCATTCCCCATCCATAAAATGATAGGCTTGCCTGAGATGACTTGTAAAGCCTTAGAAACTTCTAAACTATTATTTCAGGGACATGTTTTCCCATCCCTCACAGCACCCAGATGCGAGCCTTGTGAATAGAGAGTAGGATCTCAAGGAATACTTGTTGGGGTTTGGAGTCCCTAACATTGGTGAGATGGGAGGGAGAGCAAGGAGACTGAAAAGGAGAGTGTGAATGGTTTAGGATATGTGGCTTAGGGCAACCAAGGCTTGGCTCCTATCACCCAAGGACTTGGAGTGCATAGTCAGGGCTGGGGGTGCCAGCACACATGGTCTGTGCTTTGTTGTTTCCACAGTGGTAAGCCCCAGTTCTGAGGCCAGAGACCAGTCAGATCTGTGCTGACCGCCGCTGGGCTTTACCCAAGGACAGCCACAGAACCTACAAGGTAAGTCAAAAGAAAGAACGGTAGGATTTCAGGTGCTGAACCAGGCACTTGGCGAAATCCTTTGTGGTAGTGGGCCCTGCCTCTAATTTCCACAAATCGCACTAGATGGGAAATATCTATTCCATAATTCATGTCTCCGTGAATGAAGACAGAAGAAGGACTAGCTGGGCAGTGTGAATGAGAGCTGCAGGGACCACAGGTTGGGCTGGTCAGGGTGGGAAGAAAAGGAGAAAGCTTGTGGCAGTGACATCAAGGATCATCTAATGCAAGATGTGGCTCATTAAGAGCAAAGGTGTAGGTTATTAGAAGATACTAAGAAATGGAGACCAGAGGCTTTGCAAAAAACAAACAAACCCAAAAAACCCACTGTGACAGATGGAATTTAACAGGGATGAATATAAAGTTTTAGACTTGGGCTAAAAAAACTTACCTTCATAAGTATAAGATGAAAGAGATGAGTTTGGAGAGAAAATGATCTAGAGCTCTTAGTGGACTTTGCTCGATATGAGTTAATAGGGCAATACAGCAGCCAAGAACACTGACAGAGCCTTAAGGTGCATTAAAAGAGGCACAATATGCTCTGGGAAGACGACAGCCATGTGTTCTGCTCTAGTCACCACATTAGAGTAAGGTGTTCAGTTTTGTTGTGTTAAATTTTAGGAAGGATCTTCTCAAAGGCAAACTGCGTAGCATCCACCCATAGGAGGTCAGAACAAAGGGTGAAAGGTCTCAGGTTCATACCTTATTCATCAGATGAAGGGACTGGGGATATTCTATGATCCTAGAGAAGAAAAGGCATGAAAAGGTCAGGATGACTGTCTTCAAGTACTGGAAGGAATTCATCCATTCCTGGCTTCAGAGGGCAGAACAAGGAACAAGTGGGTGCTGCTGAAAGGCAAAGCTGGGTTTTGTGTTAGGAAAAGAAAGCTCGCTCACAGAGCCAGCTGAAAGCAGAAGGGACTGCCCCGGGAGGGAGAGGACGCCTTCTTCATGGAGGTCTTCAAGGGAGAGTTGGATGACAGGTACTCTTTGGGGTGGATGATTGGGCCCTGTGGTCTCTTTGTGAATCAGTCATGGGCAGATACTGTGGCAGTGGGATGGGACAGAAGGGATAAACCACTGGGAATGTGGTCCAGTGTCTGATTAAAGATGAAGAAAGCAAGTGACCGGGGGCGAGCCAAGATGGCGGAGTAAAGGCAGGGACTTGCCTGAGCTCTTCCAAAATCCCCTCCAAACAACTTTAAAATAATGCCTCAAAATAAATTCTAGAGTGGCAGGACTAACAAAAGATTGGGGTGAAACAGTTCTCCAGCCCAAGACAACTTAGAAGGTCAGCAGAAAAGGCCTGTTTGACTGAGGTGAGAGGGGAGCACAGTCCAGTGCAGGCTATACCCAGCAAGTCAGACGCAGGCTCGAGAGTGACTGAATCAGCAGCAGCAGCTTCTGAGCCCTCAGCTCATAGGTAAGGGGGTCAGACAACTGGTCAGAAGGAGACTACAGGAGATCCTTTGCTGGCACTGGGTGCAGGACTCTGTTGCATTGTTCATACACAGTTCTGGGTCATAGAACCAGGGTGAGGAGGAGCACTAGCAGGGGTGGGGTCCCTTGTCACAGTTCCAGGAGGGAAATGAGAGTTTGTGGTTGCTCACAGGCCAGAACAGTGACCACATCTCTCTTTAGATCATACCACCTTGGAAGAACTGAAAACTTATAGACACTCACCCACACACACCCCGAACTAGCTCTGAAAACAGCAGCATGAAAAACCTAAAGCTTGGGACAGTGTCCCCTGCATTCCGGGAGCAGAGCCCAATTTGGACATAAAGTTAAAAGTCAACAAATAGGCTGGGGAAATGACCAAACAAAAAAAAAAAGAACCAGACCATAGAAAGTTACTTTAGTGACAGGGAAGATCAAAATATAACTTCAGATGAAAATAATGTCAAAATAGCTGAATGCAAAGCCTCAAAGAGAAATGTGAATTGGTCTCAGGCCCCAAAAGAATTCCTGGAAGACCTCAAAAAGGATTTAAAAAATCAAATAAGAGAAGTAGATAAAAAAATTTGGAAAAGAAATGAGTGATACAAGAAAATAATGAAAAAAGAGTAAATAGCTTGGTAAAGGAGGCACAAAAATATTGAAGAAAACACCTTAAAAACCAGAATAGGCTAAATAGAAAAAAATGTACAAAAATTCACTGAAGAAAAGAACTCCTTAAAAAGTAGAATTGGGCAAATTGAAGTTAATGACTTCATGAGACATCAAGAAGCAAAATCAAAACAATAAAAAAGAAGAAAATGTGAAATACCTCCTCAGAATAACAACTGACCCGAAAATAGATCAAAGTGAGATAATTTAAGAATTATTGGACTACCTAAAAGCCTTGATCAAAAAAAGAGCCTAGACATCATATTTTAAGAAACTATCAAGGAAAACTGCCCTGACATCCTAGAACCAGAAGGTAAAATAGAAATTGAGACTCCACCAATCACCTCCTGAAAGACATCCCAAAATAAAAACTCCCAGGAATAGTATAGCCAAATTCCAGAGTTCCCAGATCAAGGAGAAAATATTGCAAGCAGCTAGAAAGAAAGGATTCAAATATCAAGGAGCCAGAGCCAGGATAACACAAGATTTAGCAGCTTCTACATTAAAGGATCTGAGTTGGGGAATGGCTGAACAAATTGTAACATATGATTATGATGGAATATTATTGTGCTATAAAAAATGACGAGTTGGACACTTTCACAAAATCTTGGAAAGACGTACATGAACTGATGCAAAGTGAAGTGAGCAGAACCAGGAGAGCACTGTACACAGTAACGCAATTTTGTCCAGTGATCACCCGTGAATGACTTAACTGTTCTCAGCAATACAATGACCCAAGACAATTCTGAAGGACTTACGATGAAAATGCTGTCTACCTCCAAAGAACTGATGCAGTCTGAATGCAGAGCGAAACATTTTTTTTTAAACTTTCTTTTTGGTCTGTGTTTTCTTTCACAACATGGCTAATATGGAAATATGTTTTGCATGAATGGACATGTATAACCTATATCAAATTGCTTGCATTTTCATCGAGGGAGGAAAGGAAGGAGGAAGGAGAGAATTTGGAAGTCAAAATTAAAAAAAAACTAATGTTAAAAGTTGTTTTTACATATAATTGGAAAAAATAAAACATTTGAAAATTTAAAAAAAGACAGCAAATGTTCAGCCATGTCTGAGCTTATTCAAGGAGGCTGCAGGCTAACTGATTAATTCCATACCATGAAGGTGTGGGCAGCTTCCCAAGCACTAGAGTATGAGGCTAATCCCCTTCTCCGTGATGCACCGACCCAAGCTTCAGCTGCAGACAGCTGCCATCCGTGATCGGTGGTCAGTCCCCTCTGCCAGCCTGAGAGTGGGAATTTAGTCTTTTGGGTCAGCACATGGATCTCCAGGTGCGTTCTGTTCCAATGCAGATACACCCAGGAAGAGGTACCACAATAAACTGCAGGATCATAGGATTTGCAGCCGAAAGGGACCGTGGAGGCTGTCTGGCCAAACTCCCTCCTACAAAGAAGGGCACTCGCTGAAGGCTGCAGAGGAAGGGAGGCTGCCTTGGACGGAGAGCAGCAGCTGGGGCCAGTTACTCATTCAGAGAAGCCTCTTTCTGGAGGGAAGAGCTTTTGGGGCTGGATCTGGGCTTAGACAGAGCCTTCCCTGTGGAGGAGATGGGCTCTGTCAGGGAGAGCTCCAGTGACATCCCCTCAACACAGGGAATTGTTGATTGTATTGAAAATACGCAACCAGGAAGCTCAGCAGACCGGAGAGCAAGCCTGCAGCATCTGCCAGTTCCACAGGACACCTGAAAGAAGAGTGGTTCTGCCGGGGCAAGCGCGGTGGTGCTCAGAGGGTCTACAGCTGGAAGGGACCCCAGAGGCGCCTGAGTCTAATCCCGTCATTCTGTAGATGAGGAGACTGAGGCCCAGACTTGCTCAAGGTCACACAGGAAGTGAGTGGCCGAGGAAAGATTTCAGACCCTCATCCTCTGACTTGATCTCAATACTCTGCTCCACCTAAGTACTCTAGGTCCAGTCGAGGCTCCGGAGGCACGACAGAAGGTCTGCTGTTGTTTTTAAGGCTACCATGTATTGCTTCACATTTATCCAGATTAAACGTTGCCCTCCCGTGGGGGTGAGAGGCGACAAGGTCCAGGAGCAGGCCCACCCTCCAACAACCACTTTGGAGGTGACCTCAGTGGAAAGGGAGACGAGAGGGAGACTAGGTTTCTCCTTTTAAACTACATGTTTCCCTCCATCTCCAAGCCCACCATTCTTTGCTACCCCATCCTAGGCCAGTGATGTGACTTTCCTTACCTGGGAGCCTGGAGCTCCCATGGGACCTGGGGGGCCATTGGGTCCAGAGGGTCCAGGTGGTCCTGTGGGCAAAGAAATCACTTACATCAGTTTCATGTAAGAGGCAGGTTCCCTTCTTAACCTTCCTGCCCAAGCCACTCCCCATGGCCAGTCACAGGCACGAGTACAAGAAACCGGACAGAATCAGCTGCCCAGAATCCATAGAGGATCGTAAGACCCTGGGTCCAGGGCTGGAGGAACTTCCGGTGCCATTTGGTCCAACTATCACTTTACAGATGAGGAAACTGAGGCCCAGAGGAGCAAAGGGTCTTGTCCTGGAATGGACTGCAGGGATCCCTTTTCTGAGTGGAATGAAAAATTGATCCATAAATGAGTCATCCAGCAAATGGATCGTGTGGGCAGCGTTGTGTCTGAGCCCTGGATTTAAATCTGGGACTCCTGACTCAGCCAGAGGCAGCCTGCCAGAGCCTGGAAAGAAATGATGTCCACCTGAACCTGTGTGAGCTAGCCCAGGAGGGGTCCTGCAGTCGCCGCTGGGGTCGGCCTGCCTGCCTCAAGTCTCTCTGAGCTGTCCTTCCTCTGTTCAGCCACTGTCAGGCAGGTCTGACCACGTCATTCCATCCCGTCCACTCAGTAAACCCCAGGGGCTCTCCAGAAAACCCTCTGCTGGACTTCTGAAGCCCTTCACTGGAACCTAGCCCCTTCACAGGGCTTCTGTGTTCTCACCCTCTGCCCCCCCGCGATGCTGTCACGTCCCTCTGCGGTACTGTGGCCCCGATCCCTTCCTGGTCCTGGCATGTGAGCCTCCCTCCCGAATGCAGGCCCCTTCACTCTGCCCTGGCTTCCTTCAGACCTCAGCCCAAGTCCCACGAGAAGCATTTCTCAGTCTTCCCTGAGAGCCTCCCTCTGTGATTACCTTTGGCCTCCCTGTCTACACCTGCTTGTACACAGCTGCTTGAATATCTTCTCCCCATTAAATTGGGAGCCGGGAGAGCAGGGACTGTTTTTTGCCTCTCTTTATATACTCAGCACTTAGCACAGTGCCTGGCACATAGGAGGTGCTTAATAAATGCTTGTTGACTGACAAATAGAGAGGCACTTGGCCTTTTGTGTAGGGCAGTGACTTAGTGGGACCTAGAACTACTGTGAAAGCTGCAGGAAGGGTGGATTGGACCAACAGGCCTGGTGCCCTCACAGGATCCCAGATATACTGAGGCCATCAGTTCTAACCCCCTCATTTTAAAGATGAGAAAACTGAGGCCCAGGGAACTGAACAGACTTGCCCAGGGTCACACAGAGGCAGGATTTGAACCCAGGGCCCAATTCCAGAGACACTGCTCTCTCCACTGTGCCAGGTTGCCTCCTGGTGCCGACGTACGTTAGGCTTGGGGCTCTGGGATTAGGCTGTGGCTGGAGGTAAAGGCCTGGGTGGGTCCCCAATCAAGTAGCACTTACATCACATGTGTGTCTCTGGCTGTCTGCTTACCTGGTGGGCCAGGGGGGCCCCGAGGCCCAGGGATCCCTGCCATGATGGTGTCTATTATGGTAGAAGACAACTGGGAATCGCCATCTGTAAGAGAGTCACAAGAACTCCTTACCCACCTCGGGAGACCCACGGTGGCTCCCATGGGAGCGACATGATGATCACACGTGACCTCTCCAAGGGACAGAGATGCAACCTGATGGCATGGCCGCCATCATTCTAGAGACAGGGGAGGCGGGCCATGAAAAGCTGCCAATCTCTTCCTCCTTCTGAAGGCTACGATGCCTCAGGTGGACGCTCAGAAGTCCGGTCCCCCCTTCCCCCAAAGGCCCGGGGGCGACTGCTGTCAAGGGCAGCCGATCCTCATCTGGGCCAGAGCCCTCAGGCACTGACCAGGTGGCTGAGGGGCTGAGTGACCCAGGCCACCCTGCACGGCACCATCAGGCCGCTCTGGCTCCTTTCTCAGCCATTGACCCTGAGTTCTAGAGCGGCCTCGGGGTGATCAAGGCTGCTTCCCCACACATGAGGAGTCTGGCCCAGAGAAGGCAAGCAAGGCTACCAGGTGGTGCAGCCAGATGGTGGCCAGCCTTCCACTGCCCAGTGCGCCTTGGCAGCAGAGAAGCTCCTGCTGCCTTTCCTGACAAAGCTCTTCCCAGAGAGGCGGCAGGGAAGGGCAGGCTGTCCCGCCGGGGACCCGGGGGAGGCCTCAGCCCTCCACAAACACTCTGGACCTTCACATCGAGCCTGACTGGGAGCCCTCTCTCCCTCCCAAAGCTCTACTGTTTAAACTCCACAGCAGAAGGGTGGGCACCTCACATAGCTACGGGGCAAAGGGCATAGGAATCAGAGGGCCTCTGTCCAACCGCTTCTCCTCCTCTGTAAAATGAGGGCTACCATCTGGTTTGTGTGAGATGATTCACAGACGGGGGTGGTCACGCCAGGGGCTGGAGCTGCTCACAATGCACAGAATTTCAGTAGGTTCTGAAGGTCATTTTTAGGAGAGGGGCTGCAGCTCTTCCTTCTGAGCAGTGACAGCTAGGTTGGTCAAGGCTAGACCACAGTCCAGCCTAGGGTTATCATCACCAGGGTCAAGATCTGAGGACAAAGGAGGCGCCATGTGGGCCACCTCGGGGCTGGATAGAGCCAGGCTCCTGGATGTCTTCAAGAGCTGGCCCTGCCTGAGCCTGCCCTGAGCTCCCAAGGGACCGCCGTTGACCCCAAACACGTGACTTCTCCTTTGTTCTCTATCTTCTTACTTCTTCTCCTGCTATTGGCTCCAGACCCAACTCTTCCACCCAAGGAGAAGAATACACAGAGAGAGCAGGGGGGCCGAAGCTTGGCCTTGGCCTTCCCTTGGCACAGAGAATCCCCCTCCCAGTTCCTTGGCACAGGCACAGAGAAGCCCAGCAAACACTTACTTCCTTTCTCTCCCGTGGGCTGGAGCGAATACAAAACCCCTTGCTGGAGTGGGGGCAGAAGACCAGGGCTGCCAGGAGGGCCTGGAGGCCCAGGAGGCCCAGGGAGCCCAGTCTCTCCAGGAAGTCCCCTTGGACCCTGAGGCCCCAGGAGCCCTAAAATTCAGAGAAAAAGGCAAGAATCCTGAGTGTCCAGGCAGGCATGAAAGCTGGGGTGGGGCAGCAAAGAGCTTTAGATTCTGCAGCGGTGTAAGGACAAGGTTTAAGGCTGAAGCCTGGTGGCAGAGGCATGGACAAGGTGACTTCTTGTCCTACTTCTTGACCCTGGATGTTAGCATTTTGTAGCAATAATGGAACATCTTCTTAACAACTAGGCCCTCTTTTTCCTTCGCGGAGTAATCATGACCACACTGAACAGGAAAGGCCAGTGAGAGGCAGGGGAGCCCCTTGGGCCCTGGGGCCAAACTGTGTCCTCAGAAGGTAAAGCACTGGGCTCTGTGCTCTGGTCCTGCCCCAGACAGGTGCCAGACCCTCTAGTCGCCATTTCCATCCTCTGGGTCTCAGTTTCTCATTTTTAAAACGAAGGGGCTAGCCTTGGTCCTTTCAAAGGTCCCTTCCAGCATTAACACCCCACATTTTGTGTAGATGCTTTCTGGCTCTCACTCAACCCTTTTGTAATATCCCTGGGAGGGAAGGGTCATGGGGAATGTTGTCCTGACTTCCCAGAAGAGGTAACTGAGACCCACAGATGGAAAATGTCTCTCCTGAGAGCTGGGAGAATTACCAGGTCCCCTGGCTACCAGCCCTACTCAAGTCTCCCCAGCCAGACGAACAGGAAGGCAGCGGCCTCAGGAGCAGCTGAGGGAGACGGCAGCAGGCGGGTGATGCCCCGGCAGCGCCTTATCTTGCCTCTTTGGGAGTCCCAAGCCTCCAAGGAGATAGCCCCCTCGGGTTGGAGGCACATCACAGCCTGCTCCTGGAAAAAGTCTGGGGTCAGGCAGGGAATAAGAGCCCCACTGGCAGAGCAAGCACAGGCTCAGGCCTTTATCCAGCTGCTTGCCCCATTCAGACGAGTAAACCGAGGTACAGAGAAGGACAGACACCTGACCAGGCTGGCAGGAAACGAGGGGCAGGGTGAACGTCTGTTAAAAACCAGGAGCTCCCAGGCTGTCGGCGGCAGGAACCAGCCAACTCCAATGCTACAGCTCAGAAAGAATCTAAACCTGACCAATGGGGTCGGGGGGGTTCCTCCTGGCCCCTGGATGCCGGATGAGGCGAGCAATAGAGGGCATGAGTCCCACCTCCCATGACAGATGGAAGCCCAGCATGTGAACAATGGCAGGAAGGCAAATCTGTCCTTCAGGGACTTACCAGGCGGCCCCCTGAGGCCCATCTCCCCCATCTGGCCCCTTTCTCCTTTTGGTCCGGGTGGCCCTGGGAGCCCTGAGGGGCCCGCAGGTCCTGGAGGTCCCATTGGTCTGGCAAATCCTGTAGAAAGAAGGCCAACAATGAGGACCCCTAGAGCTGGCTCACCCCCCGGAAGATTTCTTCATTTATTTCCCAGCGAGGCCATAGACATTCCAAGTGACAAGATCATCGGATCAGAGACCCAAGCTGGAAGGGCATCAGGGCCATATAGTCCAATCTCTTCATTTTACAGACAAGGAAACTGAGCCCTGGGAAGGTTGAAAGTCTTGCCCAAGGTTGGCAGTGGGATGGAATCCAGGTCCTTTGAGAAAACCATCTTGGGGTTATCAAGGCTTCACGTTTTAATGGCAAACGCTGAGCAACCACTGAGGTGTCTCAGAAGGGATGAGGCAAATTCTTACACCAATAACATGGCATTAAATTATTTTCTCATTTTTTTGCTGTGCTGAATTTTGCTTAGAATAAGTGAGCCAACTGGGGCATCTGGGTGGCACAATGGATAGAGCACCAGAGTCAGGAGGACCTGAGTTCAAATCCAGGTTTCAGACCAGACACTTGACACTTACTAGCTGTGTGACCCTGGGCAAGTCACTTAACCCCAATTGCACTGGAAAAACAAGAACAAAAACAAAAACAAAAACAAGAATGAGTGAGCCACTGGTAGAATCTTGGGGAAACCTGTGACCAGAGGAGCAGACTGTGAACTGCTGCAGGGCAGGGGTCCCGACATCCAGAGTGTGTTATGGTTTAGAGGCCTTTTCCTCACAAGAACGACGACAACTCTAATAGCTAACACTTATTAAGCACCTACTATGTGCCGGGCACTGTGCCACATGCTTTACAATTATTATCTCATTCACTCCTCACAACCCGGGAGGGAGGAGCCATGATTTGAACTCAGTGTCTCTGAGTCCAAGTTTACTCCCCGCTCCCCACCTCTCAGGGCCTGACAGGATCATCATCTACACAGGTTGTCCAGAGACCTCTGCTGTAAGGTGACGTCGGAGAGAAACCAGGCGCCATTTTGTTCTGGCTAAGGGTGGGTGGTGAGGGTCCCAAAGGGCTCCTAATAGGACAGTGGCCACCAGGCACCAAAGCAGGGGCAATGGGGAGTTTTGTCCAAGACTTCTTGACTCTGCTGGTCAAGGTTTCTGGTACTAGTGATGCGGCCCACAAGAATTAATCGTCTCCTCTGCTCCAGCTAGTTCTAGACTGCTTCCCTGCCCCTGTTTTTACTAAGTAGAGGAGGAAGTGACTTTGCTTCTTGGGATCTTGCAGCGCCCTCCCCACCAGGCTGAGGCCTCCTGGACAGCAGGGAACATTTTTGCCTCTCCAGTGTTTAACCCAGTGTCTGGTACATAGTAAGGACTTAATAAAGGCTTGCTGATGTCCTCTTTCGTTTGCTCTGTTGTTTACTGAGCTATAAAATGAGGAGTTTGGACCAGATGATTTCCAGGGTTTCTGCTGCCTGTTCAGCTCCAAATCCTGTGAACGGTGAAGGCGTGGAGGGCTCGTCATCTGTGTCCCGGGTAGAATACACACTCCCGGTGGAACTCCAGAGAGATCCCCGGGGCAAGGCAGCAGGATTCCTGATCTGTGGTGCCCTGTTCCTGCCCATCTCGCTCAGGGGATCAGAGTCAGGGGCTCAGCTTTTCTCCCTTTCTTCCTGGTCTGCCCCATTCCTGGATTCCACTGTTTGAGCACAGCTCCATGGGTCTAAGGTCTTGGTGAGTTGTCAGGTCTCCGTCCCATTCCTCTTGTATTGAGCCTCTCCCAAGACCCCACCTGGGGTTCTCCTCACCCCTTTCAAGGTCCTATCTTAGATATAAGGCAAGATGTTGTGGGGAGGAGCCACGCCAGCTGGGCAGCTTGCTCGTCCCCCTCTGGCCAGCAGACAGACAAGCCCAGGGTTGGACATGGCTGGTGGCCCGTCCCCTAGCACTACATGCCCCCTCCCCTCTGGGCTCTAATGAAGATCATGAAGACCCAACAAGGAGAGTGGAGCTCACCACCAGCCTCTGTCCGCCCTGGGAGTCCCCAGGCTCCCTCGTCACTCCTCCTGAGACGTGGCCCTGGGGGTTGGCAGGGCACAGCTTCCTTAGTGCTATCTCAGTGCTACCTCTCATCTCCAGACTTGGGAACTTCTGGGACCTGCTCCTGCTCCCTCCACAGAACCCTCATTTCCCTCGTCTGGCAAAAGGTAAAGGTCTCCTCTGAGCTCTAGGCCTGTGGTCCTATGATTCCATGGGAAGAGCTGTGCAGTGTTCCCAGACAGCACATGTGGGCTCCAGGCTGACGAGCCTGGGATTCCCGGGGACCCCCCCCCCGAAGCAGAAGGAAGATGATCTGGGTGAGAATAGGCAGAATTCACTGAGTCACTCCCCCTCCCTCTGTGGGCCATTTGAGTTTTCTCTTCATCCCCAGCACTGAGGGGTTACCTGTAGGAGCCATGACTGCAAACTGGGGTGCACTGGAGCAAGCCCTGGATCTGCAGTCTGAGGGCCTCGGTTCAAATCCCACCCCTGACACTGCCCATGTAAACTGGGGCAAGTGGCTTAGCGTGGGCCTTGGCAGCCCACTGAAGAATGAGGGGAGTGGACTCCAGATGGTCTCTAACGGCCCCTTGGGTGAAAATAGCTTCTGAGTTTTCAGGGCTAAACCACCGTCTCCTCCAGGACCCTGAAGATACACTCACCGACTGGTCCTGAAGGGTTCCTCCTCACAGTCCCAGGATTAGACAGTGGGATGGCATCCGGTAAGAAATCTTTATTCCAGGTTGGGGTTGTCTTGGTAATGTCATTTTCTGAAGTCACCACACTCCCAGCGGCTTCCAGAAGAAGAATCTACAAGAGACATTGCCAGAAAACCTGTCAGGCAAGGAACCGAACCCAAAATCACAGTGGTCATCATGGAAAGGGCCAGAGATCCTGGGTTCAGACCTTGGGCAAGCGCTCCTGACCCCTGGGCCAGAGCGGTTCTCGGGTCCCTTTCAGGTTTACACCTGAGCTCCTCCCATCTCAGAAAGGTAAGCCTGCCCAAGACTCTATTATCCAGGATTCTGAAACTGAAATGGGGCATGTGTAGACAAAATAGGAATGTTCTATTAATAACAATAACACACAATCACAGTCGTTTCACTCAGTGAAACCAAAGGGCCTCTCACGCAGCAGATACGGAGATTTTTGGGTCTAATAGCTTCTTCAGATTAGCAGGGTGAGGTGTGGTGTCTGTGTGAAAGTCAGCTGTGAAGATAAGCCGCCCAAAGCTTTCTTGGTGGCCTCTCTTTCAGCCCCTGCCCACCGGGTACCCATTTGGCCAAGTCTTAACATCCTTTTCCAGGAGGACTCTGGGTCCTATAAGAGCCTCTGCTGACATGCAGGAAAATAAGGATTCCAGAGGACCCTTCGTGGGAGGGCGCAGCAAAGGCTCCAGGGACCTGGAGTGCAGGCAGGCTTCCTGGTCCAGCGTGGAGGGGAGAACGTGTGTCCTGGGCAGGCCCGAGGAGTCAGGTCACTCGTTTGTAGCAGGAACACCCTACCTCTCCCTACTCGGGAAGGTACAGAGAGCCAGACGGCTGGGCCCACCTTGAACTGGCTGGATCGTGATTGTTTTCCCTCCTCTTTGAAGTTAAAACCGCTTGTCCAGTAAAGTCACCACGATTCTACATCGCTGGAAAATGATGAAAGGCAGAGCAGAAGGCAAGTGCAGCCCCCGCAGGACCCAGCTGGCTTTGTGAGGCAGAGCCCAGACCAGCAGATGTCACTAGCTCCCCACTGGATGACCAGCTGGGCCAGAGGCTTGCAGTTTGGGCTCCGTTTTACTCTTAGCTCTTGTTGTCCTTGTTTTATTTCTCTTTCTCTCCTCTCTTCCCTTCCCAGAGTTTAGCTTACGAAGACACAAGTCAATACAGAACAGAAACATCGCCCCGAATGTGCCGGGCACCATGCTCACTAAGCAAAGGGGATGACGGAGCGGCCCAGGGACCAGCTGCCTTAGCACAGGCTCTCAGACCAGGACCTCATCAGCAGGTCTCCTCCGAGGGGCCTCTTCCTCGGGCTGGAGAGGAATAGCCAAGTTTAGCTAGTTACCTGCCCGGAAGGAGATGACACCTTATCTTATCATCCCATGGCCAACCTGGGCAAGGCCTCCAGGGGCTCCAGGACGAGGGGCCGAGAGAGGGTCCTTGGGAGCTCTGATTCTACTTGGACTTACCGGGGTTTTCTCTGGGATTGTGATGAATAATTATTGATGCAGGAGGGCCCTTGAAAAAGCCCATCTCTGCCCTTCAAAGGGTTGTGCAGAAGTGGACGTCAATGGGAGACCCACCGTGTTGGAAGACAACAGGCCCAGGGCTAAACCAATAAACTGTAAGGACGGTGGGATCTTGTATTTCTCCATCTTTCAGTCAATCCCAGTGAAAACGTCGACGTGGTCCTGCTCCCACCAAACCCTGGGTCAGGGATCCCCAGGTGGGTGTTATTCTCACGGCAGCTCGTCTTTAATGGCTTCTAGTCACTCTTTTTGGCGTTAATAAGGTATTCGCTTTTTTCCTTGCCCTTGGTAACCTCCCCCCTTCAGATACCTTGGAAACGGGTCCTCACACCGCCACACCTAGATCACCTCTAGACCTGGTCTCCTCTCTCAACACTCGGTCCGATACCGCTCGTGTCAGTTGTCTGGGCCCTTCTCCACCCCTTCTTTTTACAAAGGAGGACCCCAAAGCTTAGAATTGTTCGGTAACTTACTAGCCCGAGCTCAGGAGTCCAGGCAGTGGCCAGGTGGGAGCCACAGCTCCCATTTGCCTGCCTCCAACAGCACCAAGTGAGAAGCCTCCTTCAGTGACTGAGCAGGAGGGGCTGCTGGGACACTTTCTGCACTTGAGGGCGCTACTTCCTACATTCCAGCACCATCTGCACCTCCACCCCCCTGGAAGTACAGAACCCCTCTGCCCCTCCCCCCCAAGTGAGGCCCACCATTGACTGCCATGCTTTCCTTACAACCATGATCACTGGTTGGGCCCTTCTCCAGAAGGCTGCTGCCCTCATGCAGGGACCTCAGAGGTCATCTGGTCTGTCCCACTCCTCCCCCTTTTTACAGAGGAGGAAACTGAGGCATGGAAAAGTTAAGTGGCGCATAATTCTGTACCGAGGCTTCTAATTCCAAGTTCCATTCTCCTCCCCTTTACTGCTGCCAGAAAACTGTAAAGAAAACCACCCAGGCTTTATCTCACCCTCCCCTCATCACCACAAAATTCAGGTCCCTCCTCCCCAGCTGACTAAGACCCTTGGAATGTCTTCTGAGCAGAAGAAAGTTGCTAGATCAGCAACGTGATTTAAAAAACAACCAGGGGAAGTTTTAGTCTCTCAGACACTGGAGTCCAGGGAGTTTCCTGCTGAAGGGAAATGTGTGTGAGGGATGGTTTCCAGCCAGCTGCTCCCAGACAACAGAAAGCTCCCACAGTTCTCCATGCCTTGCCCACCACTTAGTTAAGGGGTGTGCATGCTGAATGGGCAGGTTGGTATTTCCCTTCTGGCCCCAGAGCAGGAGAAGCCTTTGCCTGCCAATAAGCAAATCCCTGGGGGGAGGGCCCCTTTAACAGACCCCCTGAAGACTTGGCCTAAGTCAGGTGTCTAGACAGTCCATTCCAAACATTCCAAACAAAAAAGAAAGGCTCCCTTCTCCCCTCCCCCACTTCTAAGAGGTTCAAGCAGCCTGAATGCCTCCTGGTCAGCCCCAGGGCCCAGCCAACATTTTCTCGTTCCTGAAGGGGCTGGATTCTGAGAACAGCAGCCCCGGGGTCACAGGGCACAGTGCTGCCAAACTAGAGTGTGAATTTTTCTCTAGGGATGAATCTGAGCAAGGGTGCCCTGGTAGATGTTTAACAACCGGCTCTCCAGGAAAAAAGATACACTTGACATACATTTAAGTTAAATCTGCATTATTCATATTTTCTCCATCACTTTCTTAAGTTTAAGAAAATCAACACAAGAATACATCAAGTCCTGACATGAAATGTCTGCTGTTTTCTGAGGTGAGGTATAAATGGGCACACTGAAAATTTAACAATCAGCTTTCTTAAGCAGGGTGGAGCTGGCTCTCGAACCCCCAGGACATCCCATCTTTCTGTGATACCGCCATAGCCCCATGCTCTTTGATCCTCCTGTACTTTCTCAGAGGAAGGGAGGGATCAGAAGCCGTTTCACTCATTAGACCGCCCAATGGTAGGGTCTGCACAAACATCTTGGTGTCCTCCCCATGGCTTCACAGGTTGTGGCAGAGCCAAGGCAGTCAATCAGCAAGCATTTAGTAAGCTCTTTCTGTGTACCTGGCGCTACATAAATCACTGGGATCTGCAAGGTTTCAGCCTCTGGTTCATAGCACAGTTCACTGCTCTTCACAACAAGGAGCAGAGCTGGGACACCTGTGCACGTGATGATGGGAAATGTGTCCGGGAGCCTCCCAGCATGGGCCATGCTCTGTGTTCTGAGTAGTGGGTCAGTGGGAGACTCCAAAGGGGGCGTGTGATCACAAAGGGGAGTTTCCCACAATTCATGGTGCTAGTGACCTTGTCCAGTCCCGACAGCCTCCCTGGGCAGCGGCCATCATTCAATGAGCCCGATGGTATTTTCCAAGTGCTAACTTTGGGCCAGGCACCGTCCTAAGTGCTGGGGATCCACATAAAGGCAACAACAAGGCCCCTGTCCTCCGGGAGCTCACGTCCCAGTAGGGAGACAGCCCGTAAATAACAGGTATATAGAGGTACGAAGAGCACCTCTGTTTAAAGAGCTCCCCCATCCACAGGCTGCCCACCCCGCTCCTGGACAGCTCCCACTTAGAAAGCTTCAACTGAACACAAATCCACTTTGCTGCCACTTCCATCTAGTTCCTTCTACTCATGGCGTCTTGGTCAGCCTCCCTAGACATGCACCTGCTAGTCAAGATCTTTCCCGAATGGTGGCACCCCTCAGATCCAGAGCTGGAAGGAACTTCCTCAGAAAGGCTGCTTAATTCGATCCTTGATGGATAGATGAAGAAATTGAGACCCCGCGTAAGGTAGGGTTCTTCCCTTTCCTTTCTGAGCCATTACCAATCTATTAATACAGTCTAAGGTAGCTTTTCTCTACTACAGAACTGGTGTGGCTTGTCATGCCGTGGAGGTGAGTGAAGGGGTTGTCCAAGGCTATCTGGAGAGGTTTCCAGGAAGGAAATCCTAATGGTGTTTGTTGCCCAAGGACCAGCTGACCCAAACTCAGAGAGGTCCGTCAAAGCTGAAGATGATGTTTTGGGGGTTTTTTGGGGGGGGGGGAAGGAATGGAGTTTTCTTCGGCAACAGCAACTCATGGAGAGCCTCTACTAAGGCACAGAGAGGACTTAGAAGCTAAGTCACCCTGGTGTTAAAAATCACAGTATACTAAAGGAGTGAACGTACATGATCACAGGAGCTCTGGGGCCGCCACGCTGTACTGCTGACACAAACTGTACTTCAAGGCCACTAAAACCCCATAGTCCCCTTCACATAAAGTCATCCAGGTCACTCCATCCCGTACACGTGGAGCGAATTTTATTCTAACCCCGTGGTATGAAAAGCCATTTTCCTATTAGATGCCACTGTTTGGAATGTGTCCCTCTGTTCCAGTCTGTAAAGATCTACTATGATACAAATTCTCTATTTTTGCTAACTATCCCTTTCAGCTTAATTTTGTCCATGTTAGAGAAGTAGGCAACCTTTTGCACCTTCAATCAAAATCAACTCCTTTGTCCTCCATAAAAAAAAAAAATTGTTGCAAAAACCTTTGTGCTCAGAAGGAAGGTGAGAAAAATCAACAATGCTTCAGTACACCAT